CTATATCTTCCTGATGAATCGATCCTCTTATCATTGTAAAATATCTTTCTTTTGTTTCTAGGAACAATTTTTGCCTTATAGAATTTTGTGTGATATTAGTATAGGCTTCTCAGTTCTATTTTGGTTATTGCTTGCATGGTCTATATTTTTCTATCTTTTATTTTTTAGCCTGTTTGTGTCATTGAGTCTAACTTGTCTTTTGTAGATAGCATATAGTTGGATTTATTTTTTTGAATGGAATCCAGTTTATGCCTTTTTGTTTTATGTTTTTTGGGTCCATGTTTTTAAGACTAATTTTTTTAGATCAGTTTTAAGTTCATAACAAAATTGTGAAGGTACAGAGAGAGGAAGGTACAGAGATTTCCCATATATCCCCTGCCCCAAGAGATGCATCTCTCATTATCAGCATCACTCACCAGAATGGTACATTTGTTATAATCAATGAACCTACGTTGATACATCATAGTCAGCCATAGTTTCCCTTAGGGTTCGTTCTTGATGTACATTTTATGGATTTGGACAAATGTATAATGACATAGTCATCATTAGAACATCATACAGAGTATTTTCACTGCCCTAAAAATCCTCTTGCTCTGCCTATTCATCCCTTCTTATCTCTTTGCCTCCCCCATCCCCAGCAACAACTGATCTTTTTGTCTTCATAGTTTCGTTTTTTCCAGAATGTCATATAGTTGGAATCATATAGTATGTAGCATTTTCAGATTGACTTCTTTCACTTAGTGATAATACATTTAAGATTTCTTCATGTCTTTTCATAGTTTGACAGCTCATTTCTTTTTAGTGCTGAATAATATTCTATTATCTGGATATACTGCAACTTGTTTATTCATTCACTTACTGAAGGGCATCTTGATGCTTCCAAGTATTATAAATCTGTTATCAACATTTGTGTGCAGGTTTTTGTGTGGACATAGTTTTCAACTCCTTTGGGAAAATACCAAGGAGCGTAATTGCTGGATTATATACTAAGAGCATGTTTAGTTTTGTAAGAAACCACCAAACTCTTTCAAAGTGGCTGTACCATTTCACATTTCCACTAGTAATGTACAGAGTTGCTATTGCTCCACATTCTCACCAGCATTTGGTGTTATCAGTGTTCCAGGTTTTAGCCATTCTAATAGGTGTGTAATGGTATCTCATTGTTGTATTAATTTGCATTTCTCTGATGACATATGATGTGGAGCTCCTTTTCATATGATTATTTGCCATGTATTTTCTTTGGTGAGGTCTCTGTTAAGGTCTTTGGCTCAGTTTTTACTCAGGTGTTTGTTCTCTTATTGTTGAATTTTAAGAGTTGTTTGTATGTTTTGCATAACAGTCCATTACCAGATATCTCTTGTGCGAATGTTTTTTCCCAGTCCATGGTTTGTCTTCTCTTTCTTTTGACTTTGTCTTTCACAGAGCAGAAGTTTTTAATTTTAATTAAGTCCAGCTTATTAGTCATTTCTTTTATGGATTTTGTCTTTGGTGTTGTATCTCAAAAGGCATCACTGTTCCCAAGGTTTTCTCCTATATTATCTTATAGAAGTTTTATAGTTTTGTGTTTTACATTTTGGCCTATCATTGATTTTGAGTTAATTTTTGCGATGAGTCTAAGGTCTATGTCTAGATTAATGTTTTTTTCTTATGGACATCCTGTTGTTCCAGCACCATTTGTTGAAGAGACTGTATAGCTTTGCTCCTTTGTCAAAGATCAGTTGACGGTATTTATGTGGGTCTATTGCTGGGTTCTCTATTTGGTCCATTGATCTGTTATTTTGGCCAGTACCACATTGTCTTGATTACTGTAGCTTTATAGTAAGTCTTGGAGTCAGGTAGTGTAAGTACTCCAGCTTTGTTCTTCTCATTCAGTATTGTGTTGGCTATCCTACGTCTTTTGCCTTTCCATATAAACTTTAGAATCAGTTTGTTGATGTCCGTAAAATAACTTGCTGGGATTTTTCTGGCTGAGGTTGCATTGAATCTATAGATCAAGTTGGGAAGAACTGACATCTTGACAATATTGAATATTCCTGTCCATGAACATGGACTATTTTTCCATTTACTTAGTTCTTCTTTGATTTTGTTCATTAGTGTTGTCTAGTTTTCCTCATGTAGGTCTTATATATATATTTTAGGTGGCTCATTTTCTAAATCCATTCTGCCAATCTCTGACTTTTGATTGGGGTATGTAATCCACTTACACTTAGTGTAATTACCGATAAATTTACACCTGCCCTTTTCTTGTTTTTATATGTCTTGCAGCTTTTGCATTCCTTTATTCCTTGATTCTTGCCTTCTGTTGTGTTAGATATTTTTGATTATGCCTTTCCAATTTCCTTTTTTTTTTCTTTTCTGTTTATTTTCAGTTATTTTCTTAGCACTCACCTTAGGATTACAATTAGCTCTTAAAAGAGCCTCATTTAGATTAATACTAGTTTAATCGAAGTATACAAAACCTTTCCTCCAGTATATCTGCATTGCCTTCTCCCTCTTTTGTACTATTACTGTCATCAAATTATACTTTTATATGCACTATATGCTTATCAACCTATTTTTATAATTATCGCTTTATGCAAGTGTCTTAAAACTGGTCAAGAAAAGTGTTATATTTAAAGAGTTATATTTATTCTCATAATACCCATTTAATTAACTTTTTCTGGTGCTTTTTATTTCTTTGTGTGGATTCAAGTTACCCTATAATGTCATTCATTTCGGCCTGAAGGATTTCCTTTAGTATTTCTCATAGGGCAGGTCTGCTAGCAACAAATTCTCTCATATCTGTTTTACGGTTTTGGATTGTTTGTTTTTAAATCTGGAGGTGTCTTAATTTCTCCTTCATTTTTCAAGGAGAATTTAGCTGGTTATAGAATTCTTGGTTGACCATGTATTTCTTTCAGCACTTCGAAGGTGGTCATCTCACTGTCTTCCATCTTTTCTGATGAGACATAACCATCTGTTGTTACCCTCGTCATGGTCGTATTTTAGGCTACAACTTCCTCCACTCAGTTTTAGTTGCCTCTTTACTTTCATCTGCTTTCTTTCTTCCAAAATCCATTGAAGACTCTTGCTACTTGCTCTGTGAGCTTACTCTTTTTTTTTTTTTTTTGCAGTACGCGGGCCTCTCACTGTTGTGGCCTCTCCCATTGTGGAGCACAGGCACCAGACGCACAGGCTCAGCGACCATGGCTCACAGGCCCAGCCGCTCCGCGGCATGTGGGATCCTCGCGGACCGGGGCACGAACCCGTGTCACCTGCATCGGCAGGCGGACTCTCAACCACTGCGCCACCAGGGAAGCCCCGAGCTTATTCTTTTTAAAATTTTTTCTCACCAGGGTCTTAGGAGGAAGGGGAAGCTAGTGTATGAGTTCAATCTACTACTTAAACCAGATATTCTCTATCTTGCTATAGAAGGTCTAATCTAAGCCTGTGGTGTCCCAGGAGCTACACACCTGCATATGTTTTAAGTCATCCAAGCTTGTCACCCAAGTATTTGAAATATGTTTCACAGGATGGCTTTTTCTTTGAGAAGTAGTTCAGGAATCTAAGAGGTGTAAAATCTTGTTATCCTTCCCAGTCTGTAAATGGGATAGTAAAGTGAATAGTAAACTCTGCTTCATCTAGTAGTTTAAGCTTTTCATGTTGAACTAGCTGCAATTTATTTAAAACATTCTAAACAGTGTCACAATATGTGTATTTAAAGGTGAATGTAATTATATGTCCGTAATACTTATATACTTACTAAAAGGAATATTCAGATAATAAACATCTGTTGGTTAGGAACCCTAACTATGGTCTCCAAAATGATGCGGTGTGTGGTGCTTGACTAAAAAGTGGCTGATGTGGAGGGTCTTTCTTCTTGCTGATACCACTTGCATAGCAATGCCCTGATTCCAGGTGATGTGTTTGGTTTAAAATAGAATTTTGGCAGGAACATTAGTGCCCAGGTCTCACCCAGGAACATGAGGCTTTTTCTAGGTCTGGTTGATGATGTAGGACTCCTTAATGTGTTTCAAGACATTGCGAAGATTGGCTCAGAAAAAAGCAAGGTTTGCTTGTGTGACAGGTTTTAACAGAACCCAGGAGACACTCTTTGACAATAACCTATAGAATATGTGCTGTTAGGTAAATGCAGATTGCTTACCTAATGCAGTAGTTCTCAAAGCATCAGCATCACTGGACACTAGTTAAAAATGCAGATTCTCAGCCCCACTCAGACCTACTGAGTGGACATTCTGGGGGGTGAGGCCTAGCAGTCTGGGTTTTTAAGAAAGCCCTCCAAGTGATTCTGATGAGTGTTGAATTAGGAATTGTTGACCTCCTTATGAGTTTAGAAGTATCTGTGGTGGTGACGTTCACGTGAGGTTGGTTCAACCCTGTAGGAATAACCAGCCAGATGTGGTTGTTTGTGGGAAAAGGCTAGGGAGTATGGAAACCTTGCTTGTGAAAACCAGCTTCACCTATTGTTAATATCTTACCTATCTGCTTTATCATAATGTGTTTTCTGAAGAATCTGAAACAAACAGCATATTTCTTTAAATGATGAAATGGTGAGAATCCTACTGTAGTATTGTTTTTCCCTGATCTGTGATGAGTCTCCTGAGAGACAGGGACCCTGCCTAAGGTGTATTTAAGGTGTGAGATCACAGAAGCCAGTGAAGTTCATAGCAAACTGCCAGACATATCGTATATTCAAAGCAGTCCTTAGTTCTTTCCCTGAGGACTTACATAGCTAGAAAGGCTGGAGGGATTTAAAAAAGAAAAGGTGTTTTTTAAATGTTGCCTGCCTGCCCTCTGGAAGTGATTTGAGGAGAAAGGGGATTTTATATAGTTCTGGGGGTTTGGGTTTTTTTGTTGTTGTTTTTGGATTTTTTTGTTTTGTTTTTTTGAGGTTGCAGATTCAGAGGTGAGGACTTACAGTTTAAAAGTAACCTGGTTTTGTTTTGTTTTACTACATAAAGAGTCATAAGGAGTGCTTTAATTCTTTTAAGAACAAAATACTACTGTGGTATTAGGAAGCTATGTTTTATAGCATCCAGGCCACTAGATAAATCTTCAGTCAGCCCTTCATGATAAGGGGATGTGAATAAACTGTGTAATTGGTATTAGGGAAGGCATCCCAAAGGAGAGAAAATTTGGGCTGAGGGTTGAATTTATTGTCATCATGTGTATTTGGCTGAAGAAAAACAGCTACACCCCTCAGGGAATTAGAAGAAATACAAATTTGTCAGGTTGAAAATAGGTGAGCAGTTGGAGATATAACTGTGATCAGGAAAGCTAATAAGATAGTGAGAATGCCATTCCTTTTATTTGCGTAGTGGTACTGTCATGTAATTGATAGGCTTTTAGCGATAATCTTGAGATAAGTAAAGCACTATTACTATGCCTCCTTTACAGATTAAAAAGCTGAGGTTCGAAGAGATTAAATGATGGTGGTGTGGTGGCAGCTACTTTTTATTGAATGTATATTCATGTATTTGTTCAACAAATCTTTGAGCACCTACTAGTGACAGGCCCTTTTCTGGGCTTTTGAGGCATGACAGTTGACAAAGCAGACAAAAATCTGTGTCTTCATTGGGTAGAGAAAGGCAGATGATAAACAGGATAAGTAAGTAAATTATGTAATGTGCTATTCATAAGTCCTGAAGAGAAAAGTGGAACAGGGAAGGGGAGCTGGTTTAAATTGTAAATAGGGTGACTAGAAGGGTTTCGAAGAGAAGGGTGACATGAAGTTAACAGGATCAGTCTGGCCGCTGTCTTGAGAACAGGCTGAGTTATGGATCAGGCATGGGGTTAGACCTGTGTACTGGCTCTCAGGTAACCTTTATAACTACTGCAGAGCAGATCGTGAGTCTCAGAGATGTTAGTACGTGTGCTTAAGATCACAGAGCCGGTCAGTGCCGACGACTCTATTGAAAATATGTTTAGATTTTATAACGTTATGTTCAGACCAGCTGCATTTCTTTTTCTGTTGGGAGGGAGGAAGCTAAAATGTGTTAAACCTAAAAGGGGCTGTGTTCTTGATATTTGTCTTTGGTACAGCAGTGAATGAAGATTTGGAATGAAGAATCAGCAGATTGCCTGCAAAGAGCAAAACAAATCTGAAAATTTTGCTGTGGAAAGGAGATCTGAAGAGTTTCTTGAAAGTGAAGAATTTATAAATGGTACAGAATCCAGCGTAGCCAGCTTACAATGCATAGTGTAGCTGACTAACAGTGACGTTCCTTTTATTTAGTGTGAGGTCTTTCTTAATTGTTGAGAAGCTGTATGTGTAGTGGTTAAGAGCACTAACTCTGGAGCTAAACTGTGTAAATTCAAATCCCAGCTCAAATCCCAATTCAAATAATAGATGTGACTTCAGGCAAATTATTTGGTTTCTCTTTGCCTTAGTTTCCTAATCTGTAAAATAGAAATAATGTACAAACTAAACATGTTCTTACCATATATGATCCAGCAGTCATGCTCCTTGGTGTTTACCCAAAGGAGCTGTAAAACCTATGTTCACACAAAAACCTGCGCACAGATGTTCCAAAACTTGGAAGCAACCAAGTTCGTCAGTAGGTTAGTGAATAAACTGTGTTACATCTAGAGAATGGAATATTATTCAGCACTAAAAAGAAATGAGCTATCAAGCCATGAAAAGACATGGAGAACCTTACTTGCATATTACTAAGTGAAAGTACCCAATATGAAAAGGCTACATAATGTATGATTCCAACTGTATTATCAATACATTCTGGAAAAGCCAAAATACGGAGACAATAAAAAGATCAGTGGTTGCTGGGGTGGGGTAGGGAGCATAACTAAGTGGAGCATAGAGGATTTTTAGGGTAGTGAAAATATTCTGTATGATACTATAATGGTGGATACATGCCATGCATTTGTCCAGTTCCACAGTGTCTAATACCAAGAGTGAACCCTAAGGTAAACTATGGACTCTGGGTGATTATGATGTGTCAATGTAGGTTCATCTATTGCAACAGATGTACCACTTTGGTGGGGATTGTTGATAATGGGAAAAAGGCTGTGCATGTGCGAGGTAGGGTGGGGGTTTATGGGAAATCTCCATACCTTCTACTCAGTTTTGCTATGGACCTAAAACTGCTCTAAAAAATAAAGCTATTTTTTTGTTATAAAGCAGAAACTAACACACCATTGTAAAGCAATTACACTCCAATAAAGATGTTAAAAAAAAATAAATAAAGCTGTTTTTTTTAAATGGGAATAATGGTAGTATTCACCTAATAGTGTTGTCATGGATATTATATGAATTAGGATATATAAAGCATTTGGAACAGTGCCTGACATCGAGTAAGCTTATGCGTTTTAGTTATTATTCATGAACATAAAAATATTTATATAGGTTTCATGGGTTCACTTATAGACTTGGGCTTCCATCTCTGTTTTTCCCCCTACAAACTTAAGTTTTTCAGCCTCCAATTCTTCTGTCATGGTTGCTGTGTAGAATCTAATCATATTGACTGTACTTCTTTAAGTGTGGGCAGAAGGCCTCTTACCAGAATGAGCTGGCGTGTAATAATAACAATAATAATAATAACAATAATAATAACAATTTGATAATACAAATTGTTACACCAAACTTACCAACTCAGACATTTTGAGGGTGGGCCAAGGGATTTGCATTTTCCACAAGCACCCAAGGTGATTCTGATGCAAGTTGGAGTGGTAGTGCTTTGAGAATCTAGGAAGGATTATACCACACTTCTAACTTCCCAGGCACTTCTTAATGTAATCCCCACAAATTTTCTCCCAAAAATACACATGTAGATTTTGGCAGTTCACTGTGTATCTGGAAGATGGAAGGGAAAGTAGTGACCTAAGAACTCCTCAGTCCACCTCAGAACCCAGTCTCTGGTGTGAAATGACTTTTTTATGAAGTAGAACATACTTTTTGTATCGAACTCTTACTTTGTGATGATTCTTAACAGTATGAGTCATAGTCCATGCTGTTCTAACTTTTAAGTATTAGGTACTAAATAGTGAGCGTGTGATTAATCCTAACAATTGAGTCATTTTGAGGGACTTTTGGAATAAAAGCAAATTCTAGGATAGAGTGAGCAAAATATCTGTCATAAGGAGCAGAACATGAAGTTAAGTAATATATGATGGTGCAGTGAAATGATAGGATTACTATTCAAACCCTTTTTCTCCTGAATCTACAACCAGGCACATGAAATAAATTCAGTTGTGAATGGAGATAATGTTTTTATAAATCTTCTTGAAAAGCTCAACCATTACTAACTACTGGCAGGACTGTTTTACAGATGATGAAGGGAATCCTTTACAGATTCTTATAAAAAATCACAGGAAAATGAAGTGAGTATAGACAGAAGGGAGAGAAACAAAAAGATTACAGATATTGGCTTGCAAATGAAAATAAACAAGCATTTATTGAATACCTATATGCCAGACATTGTGCTAGAAACACACACTCACACAACCTCTCATCTTCACAGCATCCTAAGAAAGTAGATATAATAATCCTCATTTTACAGAAGATAAAATTGAAGCTCAAAATGGTTCATACAGAAGGCAATGAACTGAGTCAAGATTTAAACAGAGAACTTTTGACTGTACCATATAGTTTAACTAACCTAGTTGAGCTGTATATAACTGGACAGTAAATTAATGTTTTTATGCAGAGTCAATGCACAATGAGCACTCTTGCAGAGTTCCCCTGAATTTGAGGTATTTGAAGAGGGCCAACGGAGATTTCTGCTTCCAACCAAGATGAAATAACAGAGACCAGAATCACCCTCCTGCCTGAAATAACTATAAAGCCAGGCAAAATATATAGAAAATGGGTTTTGGACATTGGAAAGCAGGCAGCTTGGAATTGTGATATCTGAGAGCAGAGAAATGTGATGAGCCTAAGGTTGCACCAGCTGCCTCTCTGGAAGCAATCTGTAGGCTGCAGTGCAGGGGTACCTAAACAGAGCCTTCTCAGAGATGTGTAGAGAGCCAGGGTGGCTAGAATTTGCAGCGTAGCGTACTGGAGAGAAGGGAGCAGTGTGAAGAGAGCCTTCAGAAACGTGCAGAGGGCCCTCAAGTCTTCGCTGGCCTAAAGTATTTGGCTGAGTACTGACCTGTGCAAATTACTCAAGACTAGGGAAAGATACAGGAAGGAGTAGACAGAACAGTTTTCAGGGCACTCAGGGGGCTGGAAATAGTTTGTGTTCCCGCCAGCCAGAGAAGAAAGGCCTCATAATACCCAGAGAAGCAGGTGGAAGCCTTAGAAAGATATGGCCTTAAGCAATGGGCTAAATTAGCCTAAAATAAAGGCAGCTCTGGAGCTGCCATACTGATTTCAAATAACCAGTCTAATGAGAAAGGAAAAAAAAGTCAGCAATTGAGACCTATTGAATAAGTAATGAGGATTTCCTTGAGGAGAAAGAAGGATTAAGTAAAACAGGATGAAAGTTTGACTGGTTGTTCAGGAAAACAGGAACGCTGTTTAATTTATAAAGCAGTGGAACTGAGGCTACTAGAGTTTAGATGAAGGCAAGTGATCAGCAACTGCGAGAAGAATGAAAAGGAATCTGCACTGGATGCTTTTGATGGCCCTACAGATACAAATAGAGCTGATTTTCTGTTTTAACTCTTAGATTTTGAATGGTCTTGAAATACTCTGTTTCTCAAACTAATGTTTATTATATATTTCAGATCTTTGAAAATTGGTAATTTAACTGTACGCATGTATAGTAACTCTTGGGTTACTAACACCTTTAAAGAAAATTTTCCATTCTTCCACTGTTTTTCCTAGGTTAGAAGAATTACTTTTTCATATAAAGCATGTCGTGTTGTTTGGTAAAATATAGTATTTAAGCTTTACAATTATAGATAATTTACAAATAAGGAGAATATTTTATTTTACTACTTTTAAAGATGGCTTTTATAAAGTCATATTAGGATACATATGATATTCTTTAAAGGTGGACTATCTTTAATTTTGTAGATTAACTTACGTTTTAGCAATGTTAACCTGCAAAAAAGGGACAGCATTTATCACCCCCAAATGGGGGACATTAAATTGGGATTTACAGCTTATATTGGAGAAAGCTTTTTGTATTGCATCACTGCAGCCAGAAAAGTCAAAGGAAAAATCTTACAGGCTGAACTACAGGACAGAGTAAGACTGCTAGGCAAAACACACAACATATTTAAGACATGGTAAGCTATTTTTAAAAAGGATGTACAGGGACTTCCCTGGCGGTCCAGTGGTTAAGACTTGACCTTCCAATGCAGGGGGTGCAGGTTCGTTCCCTGGTCAGGGAGCTAAGATCCCATATGCCTTGAGGCCAAAAAACCAAAACATAAAGCAGAAGCTATATTGTAACAAATTCAATAAAGACTTTTAAAATGGTCCACATCAAACATAAATAAATAAAAAGACGTGCAGCATATATGATGAAGAGTTGATATTAATATAGAAAGACATCTTGCAAGTCTGTAAGAAAGGGGCAAATGTCCCAGTAGGAAAAGGGCTAAATTCTGAAGCAGGCAGTTTATTTACAAGAAATTCACTTTTTTAAAAAAGCTTCTGAAAAACTACTTTGCCTCACTTAAGAAATGCAAAGTAAAACAATAATGAGATGATTCTGTTAAAAAGGTTTAAAATGGCTGGCATTGATGAGGGCGAGAGAAAAGACTTGTCTTTTAATAAATTGTGTAAATTGGTCAGATCTTTCTGTAGGGCACAGTGGATTGGTATTCGAAGCGTGCAGGCTGTATTCATGTCCCAGCTCTACCAGTGAAAATGTGTAATCTCAAGCAAGGTTTCCCACCTGAGAAAATGGAGCTAATAATAGTATATACTGCATAGAGTGATTCTGTAAGAATGACGTGGATTTTGTAAAGTAAAGCACTTAAAATATAGATCATGGTACTTGGTACCCAAACAATTTTAGCTTCTGAAGGAGACTCAGTCTGCATATTGGAAGGAACTAATAATCAAGGTTACTGAAAAGGGCCTGTTTCTAATACACTGATTGACATCCAGACTTCTCATCAGCAATGTTGTTTGTTAAAACACAGTAGACATGACATAATATGGCTTTCAACCTACAATTCTGTAAGTAGCCAAATTATCAGCCAAGTATGAGGATAAAATAAATATTTTCAGAATGAGAGGACTTAGAAAGTTCGTCGTCCATTCACCTTTCATGAAAAAATTACATGAGGATAGAGCAAAGCCAAAGCAGAATCTGAGGAACAGTGGCCTCAACTCAGGGGTGCAATTAAAAGAAATCCTAGGTTGGTAACTGTTTAGTGGGCCTAGGAAGCTTTTCATCCACATTAGAATTAGGAACCCAAAGGGCTTGGAAAAAATATTTTTAAAAAGCAAGTAGATAGTATGATTAAGAATTTGAGGGCTTCCCTGGTGGCGCAGTGGTTGAGAGTCCGCCTGCCGATGCAGGGGACACGGGTTCGTGCCCCGGTCCGGGAAGATCCCACATGCCGCGGAGCGGCTGGACCCTTGAGCCATGGCCGCTGAGCCTGCTCATCCGGAGCCTGTGCTCCGCAACGGGAGAGGCCACGGCAGGGAGAGGCCCGCGTACCGCAAAAAAAAAACAACAACAAAAAAACGGGGAAGTCTGTATAAGAAATACAATGTCTAAATTTACAGCAGAACAAAATCTTCCCTTGTTTTAAGCAGCTAATGAAATAAAAGATAATCCACTTGACACTGATGCTTGGAATGTTTTACTTTGAGCAGCACAGGTTTTGTGATACAAGATTGCACTTCTTTTTATATGAGTCCAAGCATAAGACTTGGTAAAAAATATTTTTAAGGTAAATATGTATGGATTATACATATGTGTATACAGATAGATATATGTATAATATCTAATACACTCAATAATTATATTGTATTTCATCTTACATATTGGAATGAGCCTATAGACTAAGCATGGGAAACTTAATTACAGATATAGCTAAAGCTTAAAAATTAAAAATCTTTTAAAAAAAGAAATGATATAGTTAGCAGAACTTGGAAGTGGAGGGGAAAGGTGAAATGGAATAATACAGATAAACTTCTTATTTTACAAGGTAAGGAGTCAAGATACTGTTTAAAGTTGATAGAAGAAGAGATGGTTAAAGGATGTTATTTAAAATTACAAAGATAATCAGAAGAATTAAAAATATAATGATGTATTAAATGGGGAAAGGTTTGGCATGGTGGGAGGTTGGTAGAGTAAATGAGCCAATTTCCTCATCTTTTATACCAGGAATTCAATAGTCTGGTGAATCATTTTAAAGATGATAAAATAATAACCAGAGGTGTACATATAGTCACTACCCCCCAGAAGAACTAAAGCCTGTGTTTACATTGTTTACCTCTGGGGAGTAAAGCTTGGTCTGGAAGATAGGAATGGAGACTTTACTTCTCCTTCTGTACCATTTATTTCACTTTAAACTTTTATATATGTTTAATTATCTGTACTGAATGTCCAGTTTTTAACCTCAAAATGTATTATAGATCATTTTTTAGCCTTTTTATTTAACCATTGTATCCTGATGTGTCTTGAGACTGCTGAAAACTGCTTGAGACTTCTGAAATATCATGGTAAGCCACATACACTGCAGACAGAGGAGCTGATTGTTTTTGTTCTAATTTTTGATGATCACACCCCACCTGAGGGATACATCTCAGCTCTGAGTACTAGGATATGAATAACTATAGAGTGTAAATAGAAAACGGCATCCAGGTCTGTGAGGTCTAGAACCATTACATATGAAAAACGGTGAGGGGAGGAACTGCTGGTGGTTAGTCTGGGAAGATGTAATTTGGGATGATCGCCAGCCAGCTTTTGATATGAGGAAGAAAGGGTTTATTTATTGTTCTGTGTAGTCTCAAAGGGCAGAAATATTTCTCACCAATGGGCAGAAATTACAGAGTGGCCACGTTATAAAGAGCTTTCTAACTACCAGAGCTGTGTGATAATGTCAGTGTTACTGTTCAAAGACATTGTGGAGAGAATGCTCTTGTGGGTTAGGATTCTAATAGAGGACTTCTGAGGTTCCTTACAACTTTGAGTTTCTGAGGGGCTAGTTAAAAAGAAAGTTTTTTAAGACAGTCCACAATCATATTAGTACTTTTTGCTACCCAAAAGAGTAAAATTAATTCGACACTCTTTAAAGCCATGGGGTTTTTCTGTTTTTTTGTTTTTGTTTGTTATTTTGGCCGCGCGGCACAGCATGTGGGATCTTGATTCCCCGACCAGGGATCGAACCCGCGCCCCCTGCATTGGAGGCAGGGAGTCTTAACCACAACACGAAAAGCCACGTTTTCAATGAGCTCTAGGTCTTGGGGATACAGACATAAATAAGACATGAATAGATCCATGAAACTCAGTCTAGTATGCCCATTTCAGCTCAACAGATGTGCAGTGAATGTGTTCCTTACACCAGACTCTCCCCTTCTTTAGAGACAGAGATGAGCTAATCATGGCTTCTCCTCTCGAGACCCCGTGGTGTGCAGGGGAGCCAGTCCGTAGTCGCATTTCATTACGTTACAGCTGAAGAGCTTAGGGTGGCATCAGGGAAACCTTCACAGAAAAAGTGACAACTGGTCCTACCTTGTTACCACATGCTGGATCACCTGGGACATGCTTATAACTCCTCATCTACAAAACAACCTGGGCTAGAACTCTGACTGCTCTAAAATTCCATGGTTCTAAAATGGTGATAAATTGTTTTTTGGTCAAAACATGTTTTGAAAGTCCAAATTTTTGAAAAGTAATATGGTAAAAATGTTTACTGTAAATCTAATCATAATGGATATTCTTTCAAATTAAGTTTTTGCTACTGAGTTTCGTGGAACAACTTGTTCCATTAGTCCATTGACTTCTTGTCTTTATGTAACATTCATTTGAAATGTTATGCCCATTATAAAATTTTGTATTAATTAGTATGATACCAGATTTGTATATAAATATTGCAGGAATTTCTTTTTCCTTTCATGTTAGAGCACCTTTATGATTTTAATTCTTGTATTTCTTTTGAAGGGAGACAGTTTCATTGAATAGGACTTTAGATTAAAAATTTTATACCTATTGAGCATATAAAACTTGATTTTAGAAATAAAATTTTAGTGAATTTGAAATTCTTGGAGGACCCCTGAAATTTGTGAAGTGATTTTTCTCACAAAAATAAATGCTCTAGGGAAAAATATTAAGGCTGTATTAATTACCACTGTTAATTTATTGGTGCAAAAAATTTCAACAGATTTTTAGAGCATTTAAAAAAAATACATAACCATATAAAAATTATAGTTTGACCCCCCAGTCATTGATGCCCAAACAATAAGCATGCTTTTTCAAAGAAAAATATTAAAATCATTATTTAGAAAAAAACTTTAACATTGTGTGTGACTTTCTGTTGTGTCACAGTCAACTCTCCCCTTCTAGAACATTCCAAGCTTCTAATCATGGCTTGGTCCTTCCGGTGACCAGCGCCATCCAGGGGCCATCCAGTAGCCCACCTAGAGTTAAAGTTGCCTCATTAGAATTGGAACAAAAGAGGCTCCTTGGGCTCCTATCACTTAGGAATTTACGATGGTCTAGTTGCTCTGTGTCAGGAACCAGGGAACAAAGGTCAATGTGTTTTCCTTATTTCACAATCCGACACATAATAGGGGCTTCAGAAAGGTGGCAGTTTTTGCTTTTTGACACATAGAAAGATTTGCTTAACTTTCCTCAGTGGAGAAACCATAGGAACACAGTGATCACTTAGCCATATAGCTTAGCATGAGCTAGATGAAGACTGTTAACTGTAAAGTCATAAACTCAGTAAACTCTTTTTTTTTTTTTACATCTTTATTGGAGTATAATTGCTTTACAATGGTGTGTTAGTTTCTGCTTTATAACAAAGTGAATCAGTTATACATATACATATGTTCCCATATCTCCCTCCCACCCTCCCTATCCCACCCCTCCAGGCGGTCACAAAACACCAAGCTGATCACCCTGTGCTATGCGGCTGCTTCCCACTAGCTATCTACGTTACTTTTAGTAAAGAATGAGGGCTTCTGTTTAATTGCCTAGTGTACTGTCATGTCCACAATAAATGTTACTCCTTGAACCCAGTTCAAGTACAAATTCCTTCTTCAAGCCTTGCACCTGCCCTCAAATTGGACAGCCCTCTTGCTTGTCCAGGACTGCCATGTGACACTTAGCACATATTAGCATTTTTTGTGTCTACATCTTATCTTCCCAACAGTCTATAAATGTATAGAAAGAGTATGTCTTATTTTTCTCTGTAATGTCCTTACTGTCTAGCACAGCACTGTCCAGTAGAATATCATGTGAGCCACATATTCAAATTTAGATTCTCCAGTAACAATAAAAAGAGTCAGAAAAATAATTTTTAAAATGTATTTAACCCAATATATCAAAAATATTTCAATGCCAAATAAATGTAAAAAATTAGATATTTTACATTCTTTTTTTGTACAAGTCTCCAAAATCTTGTATTTTATATCTACAACATATCTCAAATCTGTACTAGCCACATTTCAAGTGCTCAATAACGCCTTAGCTAATGACTGCTGTATTAGACAGTAGAAGTCTAGCACATTATACGTGATCAGCATATGAATATTCTATAGGCAAACCTTCAAAAAGTAATCTTTTCTCCCCCAACAGACTACCATGGCTGCGGGAGTCTTGCCTCAAAATGAACAACCATATTCTACTTTGGTGAATAACAGTGGGTATGCTGAAAACATGAAAGGTAATAGTTCTTTAATATGCTTTTTGTCTTTGTGTAAACTAGAGTTTAATACAGTTATATGAATACACATGAAAGAAAAGGCTGATTCTTCATATTGGAATCTCAAGTTGCAGTTACTACTTACAGCCTTTTGTTTATTTCTGCCTTACTATTTTCACCTGTTAAAATTCCTTTTCAAAATCCTGATTAATGACCTTAGCCTTTTTTATTCCTTAATTTTTTTATACAATTTTTGAAGGTTACTTTGCATTTACAGTTCTTACAAAATGTTGACTATATTCCCTGTGTTGTACAATATATCCTTGAGCTTATCTTACACCCAGTAGTTTGTACCTCCCAGTCCCCTACTCCTGTATTGCTCCCCCCACCACTGGTAACCATTAGTTTGTTCTCAATATCTGTGAGTCTTTTATGTTATATTCACTAGTTTGTTGTATTTTTTATATTCCACATATAAGTGATATTGTACAGTACTTGTCTTTCTCTGACTTATTCACTTAGCATAGTGCCCTCCAAGTCCATCCATGTTACTGCAAATGGCAAGATTTTGTTCTTTTTTATGGCTGAATAAATTCCATTGTGTATATATACGCCACATCTTCTTTAAACGTTCATTTGTTGATGGACACTTAGGTTGCATCCATATCTTGGCAATTGTAAATAACGCTGCTGTGAACATTGGGGTGCATGTATCTTTTCGAGTTAATGTTTTTCTTTCTTTTGGATATATACCCAAGAGTGGAAGTTCTATATGGTAGTTCTATTTTTAGTTTTTTGAGAAAACTCTATATTATTTTCCACAGTGGCCACACCAATTTACATTCCCACGAACAATGTACAAAGGTTCCCTTTTCTCCACATCCTTGCCAACATTTGTCATTTGTGTTCTTTTTAATGATAGCCATACTGACAGGTGTGAGGTGATATCTCATTGTGGTTCTAATTTGCAATTCCCTGTTGATTAGCTATGTTGAGCATCTTTTCATGTGCCTGTTGGCCATCTGTATTTCCTCTTTGGAAAAATGTCTATTCAGTTCTGCCCATTTTTTAATCAGGTGTATGACCTGTTTATATCAATATATGTTGGATATTAATCGCTTATTGGTCATATCATTTGCAACTATCTTCTCCCATTCAGTAGGTTGTCTTTTCATTTTGTCGATGGTTTCCTTTGCTGTGCAAAAGCTTTTAGATTTAATTAGGTCTCATTTATTTATTTTTGCTTTTATTTCCTTTGCTTTAGGAGACAAATGCAAAAAACTGTTGCTACAATTTATGTCAAAGAGTGTTCTGCCTGTGTTTTCCTCTAGGAGTTGTATAGTACCGGTCTTAAATTTAGGTCTTTAATTCATTTTGAGTTTATTTTTGTATATGATGTTACAGAATGTTCTAATTTCATTCTTTTACATGTAGCTGTCCAGTTTTCCCAGCACCACTTATTGAAGAGACTGTCTTTTCCCCATTGTATATTCTTGCCTCCTTTGTCATAGATTAAGTGACCATAAGTGCTTGAGTTTATACTAGGCTCTCTATCCCTATTGATTTATGTGTGTTTTTGTGCCACTACCATACCGTTTTGATCACTGTAGCTTTGTAGTATCGTCTGAAGTCAGGGAGCATGATTCCTCCAGCTCTGTTCTTCTTTCTCAAGATTGTTTTGGCTATTTGGGGTCTTTTGTGTTTCCATACAAATTTTTTAAATTATTTATTCTAGTTCTGTGAAAAATGGCATTGGTGTTTTGATAGGGATTCCATTGAATCTGTAGATAGCCTTGGTCAGCATGGTCATTTTAACAATATTGATTCTTCCAATCCAAGAACATGGTATATCTTTCCATCTGTTTATGTCATCTTCAGTTTCTTTCATCAGTGTCTTACAGTTTTCTAAGTACAGGTCTTTTGTTTCCTTAGGTAGGTTTATTCCTAGGTATGTTATTCTTTTTGATGCAATGGTAAATGGGATTGTTTCCTTATTTCTCCTTCTGATAGTTCATTGTTAGTGTATGGAAATGAACAGATTTCTGTGTATCAAGTTTGTGTCCTTCAACTTTACCAAATTCATTAATCAGCTCTAGTAGTTTTCTGGTGACATCCTTAGGATTTTCTATGTGTAGTATCATGTCATCTGCAAACATTAACAGTTTTACTTCTTCCTTTCTAATTTAGATTCTTTTTATTTCTTTTTCTTGTCTGATTGCTGTGGCTAGGAATTCCAAAACTATGTTGAATTAAAGTGGCGAGAGTGGATATCCTTGTCTTATTCCTAATCTTAGAGGAAATGCTTTCAGCTTTTCACCATTGAGTATGATGTTAGCTGTGGGTTTGTCATATATGGCCTTTATTAAGATGAGGTATGTTCCATCTACTCCCACTTTCTGGGGAGTTTTTATCATAACTGGATGTTTGATTTTATCAAAAGCTTTTTCTGCATCTATTGAGATGATGACATGGTTTTTATTCTTCAGTTTGTTAATGTGGTATATCATATTGATTGATTTGCAGATATTGAAAAATCCTTGCATTCCTGGAATAAATCCCATTTGATCGTGGTATATGATCCTTTTAATATATTGTTGGATTTGGTTTGGATTTTGGTATTTTGTTGAGGATTTTTGCATCTATGTTCATCAGTGATATTGGCCTATAATTTTCTTTGATCTTGGTATCAGGGGATGCTGGCCTCATAGAATGAGTTGGAAGTATTCCTTCCTCTGCAAGTTTTTGGAGTAGTTTGAGGAGGATAGGTGTTAACTCTTCCCTAAATGTTTGATAGAATTCACCTGTGAAGCCATCTGGTCCTGGACTTTTACTTGTTGGGGAGGTTTTTTTTTCATTACTGATTCAGTTTCATTACTGGTAATTGTACTGTTCATAGTTTTTATTTCTTCCTGGTTCAGACTTGGGAGTGTGTACCTTTCTAAGAATTAGTCCATTTCTTCCAGGTTGTCTATTTTATTGGCATAGAGTTGCTTGTAGTAGTCTCTTATGATCCTTTATATTTCTGTGGTGTCAGTTATAACTTCTCCTTTTTCATTTCTACTTTTATTGGTTTGAGTCCTGCCCCTCTTTTCCTTGATGAGTCTGGCTAAAGGTTTATCAATTTTGTTTATCTTTTCAAAGAACCAGCTTTTAGTTTCACTGATCTTTGCTATTGTTTTTATCATCTCTATTTTGTTTATTTCTGCTCTGATCTTTATGATTTCTTTCCTTCTACTAATGTCAGGTTTTGTTTGTTCTTCTTTCTCTAGTTCTTTGAGGTATAAGGTTAGGTTGTTTATTTGAGATTTTCTTGTTTCCAGAGGTAAGCTTGTATTAGTGTAAACTTCCCTCTTAGAACGTTTTGCTGCATCCCATAGGTTTTGGATTGTTGTGTTTTGTTTTCATTTGTCTCTAGGTTTTCTTTTAATTTCCTCTTTGACTTCTTCTGTGATCCATTACTTGTTTAGTAGCATATTGTTTAACCTCCATGTGTTTGTGTTTTTTGCAGTTTTTTTCTGGTTGATTTCGAGTCTCATAGTATTGTGGTCAAAAAAGATTCTTGAGGGCTTCCCTGGTGGTACAGTGGTTGGGAGTTTGCCTGGCAGTGCACGGGATGCGGGTTTGAGCCCTGGTCTCGGAGGATCTCACGTGGCATGGAGCGGCTGGGCCCATGCGCTACAGCTGCTAAGCCTGTGCTCTGCAGCCCTTGAGCCACAGCTGCTGACCCCATGTGCTGCAACTGCTGAGGCCTGCGCGCCTGGAGCCTGTGCTCCACGGTGGGAGAGGCTACCACAGTGAGAAGCCCGTGCACCGCAGCTAGGGGTGGCCTCCTCTCGCTGCAACTAGATGGAGCCCATGTGCAGCAATGAGGACCCAGTGCAGCCAGGAATGAATGAATGAATTGATAAATAAATAAATTTTTTTTTTTTAAAAAAGATGCTTGATATGATTTCAATTTTCTTAAATTTACTGAGGCTTGTTTTGTGGCCTAGCATGTGATCTATCCTGGAGAAATATTCCATGTGCACTTAAAAAGAATGTGTATTCTGCTGCTTTCAGATGGAATGCTTTATATATATATATATATATATATATATATACACACACACACATATATATATATATATATATATATATATATATCAATACAATCCATCGTCTAATGTGTCATTTAAGGGCAATGCTTCCTTATTAATTTTCTGTATGTATAATCTCTCCATTGATGCAAGTGAGGTTTTAAAGTCCCATACTGCTACTGTGGTACTGTAAATTTCTTCCTTTATGTCTGTTCATATTTGCTTTATGTATTTAGGTGCCTCCTATATTGGGTGCATATATATTTACAATCTGTATATCTTCTTCTTGGATTGATCCCTTGAACATTGTGTAGTGTTCTTCGTTGTCTGTTGTAACAGTCTTTATCTTAAAGTCTATTTTGTTTGGACTTCCCTGGTAGTCCAGTGGTTAAGACTCCATTCTTCCAGTGCAGGGGGTGTGGGTTCGATCCCTGTTGGGGAACTAAGATCCCACATGCCACATGGCTTGGCTAAGAAATATAAATCAATCAATAAATAAGAATAATAAAACAATTTTTAAAAAATAAAAAAAGTCTATTTTGTCTGATATAAGTATTGCTACTCTGGCTTTCTTTTGATTTCAATTTTTCTGGAATACCTTTTTCTATCCCCTGACTTTCAGTCTGTATGTGTCTCTAGATCTGAAGCAAGGCTCTTGTAGGCACCATATACACGGGTCTTGCTTTTGTATCCATTCAGCCACTCTGTGTCTTTTGGTTGGAGCATTTAGTCAGTTTACATTTAAGGTAATTGTCGATGTGTATATTCTTATTGCCATTTTGTTGATTATTTTGGATTTGCTTTTATCGGTCTTTTATTCCCTTTCTTCCTTTGTTTTCTTCTCTTGTGATTTGATGAATGTCTTTAGTGTTATGTTGTATTCCTTTTTCTCTTTTGAGTGTATACTTATAGATTTTTGATTTGTGGTTACCATGAGGTTTTCGT